AGTTGGTTTTCAAGATTATAATGAAAACTATTTTTATTATTAGGGTCCATGTTTCGGATACCTTGTAGTCTAGCTAAAATAATACGCTTTTTGTAAAAAATATTTCCAAAAAAATGCTTATTCCAGTACGTGGTATGTGTTACAAAACTTTATATTGCTTGATCATAGTGGGGGTTGGTAGCCCAATGTGTTTGAACGAGGTAGGAAAAATTGGGGTGATTAAACCACATCGTTTCAAGGCGAAAGGGGAAAGAAGGTCTGGAGGTAGCTTTAGTGAGATTTAAAATTAAGGGGCAATGATCTGAGTGTATTCTAGGTAGATGTGTTACGCTGGAGTCGGAAAATAGACTAAGCCATCGTTCGTTAGCAAAGAATTTATCGAGTCGTTCTAAGATAAGGTGATTTTGTCGATGACGTAAATTTGACCAAGTAAAACGAGATCCCGTAAATCCAAGATCAATCATTTCTATTTCATTAAGACAATTATTAAAAGCAGTTGTACGGTTCGTATTAATGGGCTTACCTCCAAATTTGTCCGTACTTGTGGTGACTTCATTGAAGTCTCCACATAAAACCCAAGGTTGGTTATGAGTAGTGGCAAATATTTTCAAGTTTTTCCATAGGGTTTGGCGATTGTGATAAGCTGTACTAGCATATATAACTGACAGTATCCAAGGGGTGGGGGAGTTTAATACCTGAACAGTAGCATGGATCTCTTGCGCAGTGATTACTAGTGGATCAACAGTAAGTTCATCTGAGTGCCAAAGCACACAAATACCTCCCGAATATCCTTGTGTAGCCACTTGTACGAGGTCAGTAAAATTGAAATCTTGAAGCAGGGATGCATGATCTTCCATTCTCGTTTCAGTGAGGCAGAGAATAGTGGGATTATTCCAATCAAGCAAGAAACGTAAGTTGCGACGAAATTCAGCTCCATGGGCTCCTCTACAGTTCCAAAGCATGATCTTCATAGAATTACGAAGTGCTGTTGTGGGGCTCCCTCCTGAGATTAGTGACATGCCCAGTTGCATGTTGAGTTGGTTGTTTTGGGGCATGTCTGGCATTTGTGGTGGAGCTGCCAGAGTGGGAATCATGAGGATGACATAGCGGTGGTCCACAGAGGAGGGGTCTAGGCGAATATTCAAGGAGGTTGTCTCCAAAGTTATTGGTGCTTGAATGAGATATCTTCTGTCGACATTTGCGTGCATGGAGATAGTCAGTGGGTCGATCAGATGTAGTGTCTCCACGAAAGTCTCGCCCATGTTTGGTACTGGCCTGGCATTAGGTGAGCAGGTTCCTCCAAAGGTGGTGACAATGGTGGTGGAGTTAGGGGAGGTGATGGTGAAGGGTGAGGTTGGTGGTTGGGGTGCAGTATTGGTGGGAATTGGTCGTGCATGGGTTGTGGTGGGTGTAGTGGTGGCTGTGGTGGGTTGTGAGGGTCGCTTAAGTTGGGCCAATAGGTGAGGGGTTGGAGTGTAGGACATGCAGGGTGAGTTGGAGGTATCAACTGTGCCCAGTTGAGGAATTGAGTTATGTGGGTTTGGATTTCCGTTGAGGTGACTTCCTGGAGGTGTAGTATTTGCATGAGATGATCGTGGTGTATGGGGTCCGGCTGTCCATCTTGGATGAAAGTTATCAAGAGGTCGTTGTGGTTGAGAAGTGTGGTGAGCTGTTGGTGGAGGAGGGGCAGGTTCAAAGGGATGGGTGGCAGTAGGAGATCGATCGTGGGCATAGGTGGTGGTGGAAGCTGGAGAAGGAGCAGCGGCGGAGGAAAGAGATGGGGTGGGTTCATTGGAGGTGGTAAGTGTGGGGGGTTAGGAATCAGGTGGAGGATTGGTGGTGGTGGGATGGGGTAGTAGTTGTTTTGGGTGTAGTTGAATTGTCGTGGAGGATGCCTGGGGCGTTGATGAGTGTTGTTGAAGCGAAACATTTTGCGTTTTGTGTTGTTGAAACGTAAGAGATGGAGGAGGGGGAGTTGGTGATGGTAATGGTTATATTTGTATGTACTGTTGTTCAGTAGTAGTAGACGAAGGTTGAAGGTTATCGAGGAGGTCATCATGAGGTTGCAATACAGGCTTAGTGGATATCGCCGGCAGCAGTGTAGTTGCGTGTTCTAGTTCCATGGACTGACGAGCAGTAGACGTAGGAATAGTGTTACTGTTTGTTGCATGGCAATGTTGGGGGGGGGGGGGTGTTGTATGTGTAGTGATGTTATTGGTAGTGTGGTTGATAGGTGTAGTGTGAGTTGTAGTGTGGGACAGGTGGGGTAAGGAGGGAGTGGGGGTGTCAGCGTGTACGGTTTGGAGAGGTCGATTTTTTATACTATTAAAAGTGTTGAGAAAATCAGAGGGGTCTGTTGTGTTGTTGTGTTGTGCATGAGTAGTGTTTTTTGTAGTAGGTAGAGGTTTCATTTTAGGTTTAGATTGAGTTAGGGGTTCGGGGAATGTTTCAGAGTCAGTATGTTGGGTAGGGGTGCTGAGTAATGGGTGTAATTTATTGGGGTTATCAGTATTGGATATTGTGGGCGGTGGGGCTAAAGTATAGGTAGAATGATTTATTGGCAGGGGATGATCATCATTGGAACTTGGTGTTGGGGCGTCTGAGGTAACATGTGGGGTGGGGTTCTGTTGTAATGGGCTGACAGATGTAGTGGGGGTTTCGTGGGAAAAAGAGAAACGATTATGGGTTTGAATAGGTGTATTTGGTTGGGCCTGTATTGAAGAAGGGTTAGAATTGTTGATGGCTGTAGTGGGCTGGTGAGTATAGCCCATATGAGGGTTTGTCTTGGTGTTTCGTTTAGAGTTTTTGGGGTAGGTAACGGTTTTCCAAGGGCTTTCGTTATCGTTAGTGTTTATTGTAGGGTTAGTAGCAGCTTTGGTTTGGTTGGTAGAGGAAGACGGCGTATTTTGAGGGAAATAAGAGGCAGTGTGTCCCAGGCATCCACAAGTAATACACAGTGGAGTTTGGTGTTCGTAGTAAATTTTTTGAGTGTGAGTACCAAGTAAGATTTCAGTGGGTAAGGGCTGTCCAATTGGTGCTAATATACATAATCTAGCATAACGCCCTCTAGTAGTAGTAGTAGTGCAGTTATCAATTTTAAGGAGTGTGCCGGTGTGGTTACCGATTTTAGAAAGGATTTGGAGGTCGTAGTATTCAGTAGGTAATTCTTGTAGTCGAATCCAGATGGTTGCAAAATTTTGATGAGAATTGGCCGGATTAAATTTCGGTTGCCACTGCTGGATTGATAGGTACTGGGAACCTATGAACCAAGGTCCATGGTGCAGCACTTTTTGATAGTTAGTAGCGGATACTAGCTTGACTAAATAGTATTCATAACCCAGATCTATAAGGTTGATAGGTTCATTTAGTTGCCAAAGAGTTGTGACTTTATTTTTGAGTTGGTTATATGAAATCTTTGGCCCTAGTAGTTTTATTATAAGTGATTGTGTCCAGGGTTTATACAATCTTATTTTGTCGGTTGCCGTTATTGGTATGAAGTTTGGGTGGTTTGAAGGATTGTCAAGTTCATCATTTAGTGTGAGTTTATGTAGTGAGTCTGATACCCAAAGGATATCACGCAGTAAATAGAACAAGGTAACCAGAAGGAAAAGAAGGGAATGAGAAGAGAAAAGAAAATAGAAGAGAGAATAGAAAAAGAGAAGGAGAGGAATCAGAGAGGAAGATAGATTGGAAATGAGAGTTTTTCTTATTAGAATTGCCTTTCATCTATTACAATTCACTATTTAAAACAAAGGAATTGAAATGCAATGGGAATAATGCTGAAAATCAAAAATGGCAACTAACTGATTTTTCCGCCATTAACTAACTTTCAAATTTCAACTATCTTCAACTAACATTTGAAAAATCCTACTTGCCATCCTACTCAGCTGCCAAGTCAGCTGTTATTTGCTGCATTTCGTGTATCAATACCCCCTTGTGGAAGAGCACCCTTTGTCCTCAAGGGTGAAATCCGGAAAGCGAGTGCGAAGAGCAGACGCCAACTCCCAGGTAGCATAAGAAGCATCAAGCTGAGACCATTTGACAAGGCATTGGGCGACAGCCTTGTTGCCCCTTTTGATTAAACGACGAGCAAGAATAGCCTCAGGTACGGGACACAGATGGCTAGCAAGATCAATTACAGGAGGATGGATGATTTCAGAGGGAAGAGAGTGGCAGAGTTTGAGCTGAGAGATGTGAAAAGTGGGGTGGAGCAGAACCTCAGGGGGTAGCAAGAGCTTGTAAGCAACAACTCCAATCTTTTCAGCAATGGGATAAGGTCCAAAGTAACGGGAGGTGAGTTTGTGGTAAGGAGAACCAGCTAAAGTAGACTGTCAATAAGGTTGCAACTTAACAAATACCCAGTCTCCAACATTGAAGCTTTTATCAGACCTGTGAGCATCAGCCTGAGCCTTCATACGTTGCTGAGCTCTATGTAAATGAAATTTGGCCATTTGAAGTTTGAATTCTCTGGTAAGTAGGATGTCCTCAATAGCAGAAGAGTCGGTGTCACCAGGGAGGAAGGGAAGATGTAAAGGGGGAGGGTAACCATAGAGGAGTTCAAAGGGGGAGGTTTTAATGGAAGAGTGTGAGGTGGAGTTGTACCACCACTCAGTTAGTGGTAAGAACGAAGACCAATCTGCAGATGAGTCAGTACAAAAACACCTCAAATAAGTCTCAAGACATCTGTTGAGCACTTCACTCTGACCATCAGTTTGAGGATGGTAAGCAGTGGAGGTCTGCAATGTGATGCCTTGAGCTGTAAGGAACTCTTTCCAAAAGGAACTGATAAAGATAGGATCTCGATCACTGGTAATAGAAGCAGGGAACCCATGTAGTTTAAAAATGTTATCCAAAAAGATGGGGACTAAAGTTTGGGCAGTAAAGGGGTGAGTGAGGGCAATGAAGTGGCCATACTTGGTTAAACGATCAACGATGACCCAAATGACAGTCTTGCCTTTGGACTTTGGTAAACCCTCGATAAAGTCCATAGTAATGTCAGTCTAAGGTAAAGATGGAATAGGGAGAGGTTGAAGAAGACCAGGGGAGGCTGAAGTATCATACTTGTTCCTTTGACATGTGGTACAGTTAAGAATAAATGTGGCAATGTCCTTCCTGATGCCCTTCCAATAAAAATAGGACAACACCTTCCTGGTGGTAGCATCTAACCCAGAGTGGCCTCCAGCGGGAGTTGAATGCCATAAGGTAAGCAACTTAGTTCTTAGAGCAGCATTATTACCAATCACCAATTTGCCTTTTCGTCTAAGTTGATGATTGATCCATGTGAAGTTTTTCTGAGGAGTCTGTTGTAAGAATGAAATGAGGGAACTTAGCTCAGGATCAGAAGACCAACTGGCAGTGATTTCTTCCCATAATTCAGTAGAAACAGAAGAAACCAATAGTGTCATTAGTTTAGCACCTTGAACTCTAGATAAAGAATCATCAGCTACATTTTCCCTGCCCTTCTTGTAGTGAATTTCAAAATCAAAGGGTAGGAGCTTGGCTATCCATTTGATTTGGGCATCTGTGTGGATTTTTTGCTCGAGTAAATACTTCAAGGCCTTCTGGTCAGTTCGTATAATAAAATGCTGTCCCATAAGATAATGAGACCACTTGCTTACATCAAAAACAAGTGCCAACAGCTCCTTCTCATAGACAGAAAGAGCTGCATGCCTGGGAGCCAAGCCCTTGCTGATGAAGGCTATAGGATGGCCTTCCTGCATGAGAACAGCCTCAATACCAGTGCCACTAGCATCAGTTTCAACCACAAAAGGGAGAGAGTAGTTGGGTAAGGCTAGGACAGGAGCAGTAGTTAGGGCCTTCTTTAAAGCAATGAATGCCAGTTCAGCATTAGGTGTCCATTTGAAATTGTCCTTCTTGAGTAGTTCTGTGAGAGGTTGACTAATAAGGCCATAGGACTTGATAAACTTCCTATAGTACCCAGCAAGACCAAGGAAACCTCTGAGTTGCTTCAAGGTGGTAGGCACAGGCCATTGTTGAACAGCCAATATTTTCTTTGGATCTGTTGCAACACCTGCAGCAGAGATAAAATGACCCAAATACTCAACCTTTGCCACTCCAAAAACACACTTAGAATGTTTAGCTAATAAGCTATTAGACTGCATGACTTCAAATAGTTGCTGAAGATGGTGTATATGATCCTGCAGGTGCATGCTATAAACCAAGATATCATCAAAGAAAACCAATACAAACTTCCTTAAAAATTGTTAGAATAGGTGATTCATAAGGCATTGAAAGGTAGAGGGAGCATTTGTCAAACCAAATGGCATGACAAGGTACTCATAATGGCCTGAATGAGTCTTGAAAGCAGTCTTTGGGATGTCCTCAGGTACCATCCTAATCTGATGATATCCGGATCTTAGATCAATTTTAGAAAAAATTGTAGCTCCAGTAAGCTCATCTAAGAGATCGTCAATGATAGGAATAGGAAATTTGTCCTTAACTGTATATTGATTTAGCTCTCTATAGTCAACACACAATCTCCATGATCCATCTTTTTTCCCCACTAGAACCACTGGTGAAGAAAAAGGGCTATTGCTATATTGGATAACACTTTGTTGTAACATTTCCAACACAAGTTTTTCAATAATATCCTTCTTCATAGAAGAGTACCTGTAAGGTCTGATATTCACTCGTTTAGTACCTTCCTGCAGGGGAATTCTATGATCAAAAACTCCCCTCTGAGGAGGTAAAGTTGTTGGCTCCCTAAAAAGCATTTGATACTGTCCAAGCAATCTCTGAAGGGCCTCTGGCAGGGAATTCTCGACAGGCAAGTGAAGTGCATTAAAATGAGGGTGACACTCCTCCAGAGTCCTAGGAGAAACCACTTGTAACATGAAGAACTGAGCCTCTGCACTACAGTTCCTATTGATAGCCTTAGAACTTGAAAGTTTACACTCTTCAGTAACACCCTTCAACACATGATGTTTGCCCTGATAATCAAAGGACATAGTAAGCTCAGTGTAGTCCATAGTAATAGGACCTAATGTCTTCATCCATAGGGCCCCTAAAACTAAGTCATACTTCCCAACAGGAAAGACAATCAAATCTGAGGTATAAGTAGTCCCCTGCAACATCCATTGGAAATCTCTTACTACCCCAGAAGTAGCCTCCATAGTGTTGTTGCCCAAACTGACATAGCCCAACTTAGTTGGAGAAATGTGACACCCCAACCTCTCTGCGGACTCAGCATCATGAAATTGTGTGTACTTCCACCATCTAACAATATCTGAATAGACTTTTTATTGCTATATCCAATCACATGGATAGTTTGAGCCCCCTTAAGACCACTTAAAGCACATAAGGAGATCAAGGGAGGGTCTCCATCTGGTACGTTCCATTCTTCAGTTAGTGGAGCTTCCTCTGGCTTTACAGGATCCTCTTCCATCTCACCTTCAGGGTACTTCAAATCCATAATGAACATCTGCTTAGGTAAGGAGCATTTATGCCCAGGTGTGTACTTATCATTGCAAAAGTAACATAATCCCTGAGCCCTTTTTGCTTGCATTTCTGCTGGTGAAATCACTCTCCTAGTTTTGGAACTGGAGGTATTTGTAGGAAGTAAGGCTGGTTTATGGGTAGTTAAGAGCTGTGGGTTAGGATTTTTAGCAGGCTGTAACTCATAGGAAGGTTTCCTATTAGTATATTGATAAGGTCCAGGAGGTTGTTTCATGCTGCGAGCATTAGCTGCTAGGGTAGCTTCAGCAAGTCTAGCTAATCGATAAGTCTTTGAGAGTGTCTTAGGTTCATGCATCATGATAGGACTAACTAACTCCTCTTTCAATCCACCTAAAAAGCAAGATATTGCCTGATCTACTGATAAGCTACACTGTGAAACAAGCCTATCAAATGCAAATTGAAATTCCCTCACTGTGCCAGTCTGTTTCAATTGTTTCAACTCGAGCATAGGGTCTGCAAACTCATCCCCAAATGTTTCAACCAACACAGCCAGATACTCCTCCCATTCAGGTAAGCCAGGTACACCTCTACACTTTAAAAAAGCTTGATGCCAAGCCAAAGCTTCATCATCTAAGTTCATAGCCACTAATCTTACTCGTTCATTAAGAGGAGTATTGTCGATGGCAAAATATTGCTCAATTCGATACAACCATTTTTTTAAGTTTTCACCATTAAAACGAGGAAATACCAGATTGTGATTGCGATTATTAGCAACATATTGAGGATTTGGACCCAAAATACCCTGACATGGTGCAGTAGTTTGAACTCGATCTGTAGATGTAGAACTTCCGTCCTTCATTTGCTGTTGCAGATGCATTCCTTCGAAGGAACTTTTCAGTGCACTGACCAGGTGAACAAGTTCAATTTGCCTGCGATCCATGTCCTCCTTAAGTTCCTGGTGCATCTGATCCATACTAGCTCGTAAATCCAGTTGTTGAGCTGCTAAATCCTCATATTGCTCTTGAAGATTAGCAGCTGGAACACCTTGGATCTCGTCAATAGCTCGTCAAGGTCCCATCAGAATCGCTGAGCTCTGATACCAATTGATACCCAAAGGATATCACGCAGTAAATAGAACAAGGTAACCAGAAGGAAAAGAAGGGAATGAGAAGAGAAGAGAGAATAGAAAAAGAGAAGGAGAGGAATCAGAGAGGAAGAGAGATTGGAAATGAGAGTTTTTCTTATTAGAATTGCCTTTCATCTATTATAATCCACTATTTAAAACAAAAGGAATTGAAATGCAATGGGAACAATGCTGAAAATCAAAAATGGAAACTAACTAATTTTCCCGCCATTAACTAACTTTCAAATTTCAACTATCTTCAACTAACATTTGAAAAATCCTACTTGGCATCCTACTCAGCTGCCAAGTCAGTTGTTATTTGCTGCATTTCGTGTATCAGAGTCAGTGGGGGCTTCCATAAATGCATCAGTAGCAGTAGTATTAAGAACATCTTTGTAACTTACTTGTGTTGGTAAGTGTTGTTGTGTGTCTTCTTTTGGTTTGTTGGTACTGCGGCGGAGCAGATCTTCGTCTTGTTCAGATTGGTCGTCTGGTGAAGCTGTATTCATTGTTGTTTGGGAATTAGATTGAAGTGAAGGGGATTGTGTGTTGAAGTTGATGAAGGAAAAGTAGAGAGAAGTTAGAGAGAAGTGAGAGCATTGCATGCCCAGTTGATAATTTAGAGATTCGATGTTACTCTACCGTGCCAATCCTTGATTGTTGATAAGTTTACCTTCTATGCACTCTCTGTGTAAAATTTTCTTTACACAATCAAGTTAAAGTTACCCATAACAACAAATAATAACTCTAATTTGATAAAATAAAAGATAAATTAATAACATGCTGTAATAAATAAAATTACAATGATAGTATAAAAATCCGCACCTATCTCATAAGTCATAACACATAAACACGCAGTAATTCGTAAACATCCGCACCTATCTTAGGCATGCAATTTATTCATATCTTATCAATTGCTTTTAAACAAGAAATAACAAAAATTTTGAAAAAAAGAAAAACATAATGTGAATTGCATTATTACGGCTTAAACACAAACAAAATTTTTGAAATATGTGTCTTCAGAATCTTCAAGATTAGTACTAGATCTTCAAGCTTTTGATCTGTTTGGAAGATTGAGAGAAGAAATGAAAGAGGAAATAGTAGAGCAAACAGATCCAAGAAGAAGCATGCTAGCAGCAGCATTTGCCATGTTGATAAAATGTTGTATATCTTTGCCACTGTCCAGAAATCTGTTAAATTCCACACCGAGTCCTAATCCACCAGCAGCTCCAGTACCCAATAGGAATGAAATAACCTGTACCTCTATATGTCAGTTAGTCATCCAACTTTCAGTTTATTGTACTATATATGTAAAATAATTTTTGTGACAGTAAAATAACTCAACTATGCTAATATATATATATATATATATATATATATATATATTACAAAACATTAAAAGTCTGGAAAATCCTAAATCGGTATTGAAAAAGCAAGTAGGCTGCCACATGTATAAAATTGTTATGTAAGTATAGTCATATCAATAACCCGCGTTGCATAATATTCATGTTACATAATTTTAAAGAAATAAAATAAAAATACTTTTTGATCCGACCGAATACTTTATGTCTTTCAACATGTAGCACATTAAGAGTTTATTTAAAAATAAAAATAAAATAAACTAAATGAGAAAATATTGCCAACCGGTATTAGGTAAGGTAAGGTGTTGAAGTGACAACCTATATATGTTCCTGGGATCAAGTTTAAATTATTTTCGGTTTCTGTGGCATGCATGTACACATATTTAATACTAATTTTTTTAATTCAAAAAAATTAGTTTTATGAGTTTAGTGCAATAAATAAAAAGTTGAATAACTATTAGTGAAATTTACCCCTAAGTCTCTAGCCTTACCTAATAAAATTTTGAAAGGCTGGAATTGAAAAAATTTGTTCTAAGTATTTCGTGTTATTCTTTTGGGGACTGACTGATTAGTTTTCAATTTTCATTTGAAGAATCCCAGTCTAATTTTCGTTTTCAGTTGATTTACTTTACCTTATCGCAATAGAATTCAAAATAGGCAAGGCCACTGCCAATGGAACTTCCAGATTTGATCAAATGGGAGATTGTTAACACAGCTAATAGTAGGGTATAGGCCATTCCAATCACATCTGCAGATATCATATAACTGCATCCCAAGAAATTCAATAAATATACAAATTAGGATTAGTAAAAGCATATCTAAACATTATTCATTCTTCCTTAAGAAATGTTAATTTAATCTCCAATTTACTTATAATGCATTTGACTAGTAAGGCTAATGAACGACTATTTGGTCTATGTGTTCCAACTTCAGGTAGGAATAATTCACCAGGGGAGAATTTACATCTAAAAATTGGGTGCTCAAGCACCCATTGACCTCAACTCAATCTCGGAGTATGTAGTAATTATATAAAATTTTTAAGAAAACTGATATAAATAAAAGATCTAAAAAAGGCTTTAATGAATTTGACGAATGAGAGTAGGAATCTCATTTATGACAAGCCCCCCCCCCCCCCCCACCCACCCCACCACCACAAGTAACCACCACCCCATTTAGGTTTCCTTTTTCACCATATGTTAAAAAAAGTTAAGTATCCACGAACCCAAAATTTTGGATACTTTGTTGTATTTCGCCATAAGATGAACGAGTTTAACTTATATTATAAAAGAGTTTTACACTATCAGGTCATCTAAAAAATAAATACAAGTGGTTACTTATAATGAGAAAGATTAGTAAAAACCTGAAAAACAAAGCAATCAACCTGTTAGAACAAGTTAATTATACTTGGGGGTCATTGGGTTGGAGGGAATTAAAATACACTCTACATTATAACTAGTGCAATTTGGTTGGTGTTTATGATATATTGTTGCTCCGTCATAACAAACCCTATATTATTACTTGTATAACATTTAATTCAACATTAGTCACCTCATAAATTATCATTGTATTCATTATAATCCCTGCATAACGACATCGTGACCTAAACAACCCTTTAAATATTCTCTACGCTGTCAATATATAAAAGTTAAATTCAAATGCTGATAAAGTAGTACAAATAATTAATGAAGTATTTGTAAGGGGAAAGGTAAATTTACCGATAAGCATAGAAGTCATTGGACTTAATTGTGACTGGAAAACCATAGATATCAAATGTATCAAAACTGGCAGAGGCAATGACAATCAATGATATCAACAACAAAATAAATGTAAGAACTCTCATCACTAGAGATACCACTAATGGCATTGACAAACCAACCACAGGTGACGCTGCTGGTGCTGGTGCTGGTGCTGGTGCTGGTGGCTGGTGCTGGTCTATAGTTGTTGTTGATGGTGTTTGGGTTTGGTCATCAATGATTACTGTTGATGATGTTTGGTTTTGGTCCATGTTTACTTTTGTTAGCCTTGTATTTTTACAATTAATGAAGATGAATCTTCCTAAAGTCATCAATTAAGTCCCCTTTTATATTGCTTTATTTTTTTCACATTGCATTTATATTGCTTACAAAGTAACAACTATGACTTTTTGTTTGTTATATTAGCCACAGGTTTCTTGGATTTATAACCAAATTCTTTGGAGCCTTCTATTTGTTTGGATAGTTGTTTTCAAGATGTGTTATAATCCATATGAAAGATAACTCTTCCTCTCCTTGTAGGAGGAATATTAAAGAAAAGAAGAACAAAGGAAATTGCTGAGAACGAGAATGCAGAAACAAGAGAAAGCTGGCTGCAGCTAAGATCAAGTGATTAAAGATTTTAAGTCAGTAAGGTATAGTGTACAATGCATCCGTTACTTCTCTTTTTTTTTTCTTCTGATAAGTGGATTAAAATTTAGTAGAAATATATATTCTTTATGGAGCTAGCTTTCAAATTATATACATATAGTTCGAACCGAATACAATGCGTTCTCATACATCCACCCACTGTTTAACTCCACAAGAAATTCAAAGCCGACAGCAGCTCCAGATGCTAAAAGGATTGGAGATTTCTGCTCTCTTGACCCCCCCCCCCCCACCCCCCCACCACCAAAAAAAAAGAAAGATCTGACAGTCTGATTTCTTACAAGTGATGCTCCATAGACACATAAAATGATAACACGGGATAGGATAAAAATAGACAGAAAAAAACTAGGAATTCTTATGTGAAACTTGGTGTTGTATTCTACTTGTATAGAGCAAGGAAGAATATTTTATCAAAGAAATAATCAATAGTTCTTCAAAAAATAAGACGGAGGTTTTGGATAGCATGAAAGAGCCGGACCAGCAGGAAACGCTCCCGCCATACATTTTTTTTATGTGAAAAATGTGTATAATATATGGATGATAATTCAATAATGGTAAAAAATATGGTCTCATTAGCTGATTATTTAATTTGGAATAACCTTTCCAAGATACTATTCTTGCAGTCATTTGTTTTAGGAACAAACTATGCACCTATTACATAAGGATCGCTGAGCTTCAAAATGCAGAGAAAAGGACATTGCTAAAATCTGCCGCACCCCAGCAACTGTAGAATTAATTAGCAAACGTATTCCAAATCATAAGCTAGCAAACTATATCTTACTGTAGAAGCAATATTCCTGACAATGTCATTATCTTGTCATACAAATACGTAAAAACCAAGAATAAATTCATGCTGTTAATTCCTTGATGCAACTTTGGTTTACCAAAACAGTGCCAAATTACTGCTGTGCACATTGAACTCTCTGGGCGCCACCATGCATGTCTTCATCTTCGTCATATGCCTCTTGGGCTTGCTGCTGCTTCCTACGCATCTCCTCTTCAATGTTAACATCATGCAAAGTGGTCTCCTCGCACTCATCCAATTCCATATCAGTCATTTGCGTTTTGGGTTTTGGTGGCAACACCGCTTCAAGGTTCTTGCACTGCTCGAGGGATAATGTCTCTGGGAAATCTACAGTAAAGTGAATGTACAGTTTTCCTCTCATAAACGGCCTTTGGTACATTGGCATGCCTTCATCATTTATGGCCTTAAATTGATCTGTAGAGCCAAAAACAAAATTCATGATTGGTACGTATGAAAGAGATTCTCATATAATGCATACAGAGAACCATTGGCCATAGAAGACACTCCCTTCATCAAATAAGACACACCCCATTTCGACAAACAGCAGGAGATAGTCATACAGACAGTGTGCTCGGCATAATATATAAGCAACTAAAGTACTGTGGACCTACCAGGCTTCACAACTTCTCCAGGTTGGGACTTAATGAGTAGCTGTCTATTGTCTAAGTGAGTCAAGATGAACTGGAAACCACATAGGGCCTCAGTCAAACTCAAAGTGTGCTCTACAAAAAGATCATCTCCCTTTCGCTTGAACTTGGGATGTTCCTTCTGTTGCAAGACAAAAACTATGTCCCCAGTGATAGTATCAGGCTGCAAAAAAATAATATAAACACGAACATGTGAGAATCAGTGGCCTTTCATTATGTTCATATACAATTCGTGACGTAAAGTACTTCAAAAGCTGAACTGCATGTCTTACCGCTTCATCAGCCTCGCCCGGGAACGTAATCTTCTGTCCATTCTGCATACCCTTCTCAACAACAACTTCCAACACCTTCTTCTCCTGCACAACCTTCTCACCTTTACACTGTCCACACCTATCTTTATCACTGATTGTCTCACCAGTACCCTTACACTCGTTGCAAGCGTGTTGCATCTGCTGGATCATGGATGGGCCAAGTTGTCTGATAGTGACTTTCATCCCGGACCCTTGACAGCCAGAACATTTCATTGAAGCACCTGACTTAGATCCTTTCCTGGTAATAAAATTTTAACACCAACGTCAACAGAGCCTCATACAAACATAAAAGATAAAAAGTTGATAAATGATGCTTAAACATAACTAATAACATTGTAAACGCACCCCTTGCACTTGGGGCACAATACATTGCGAGATAATGACAGCTTCTTTGACGTCCCATTGTACACATCATCCAGAGAAACTTTGAGAGGGTGGACAACATCCTCTCCTCTTTTCTGTCTTCTTCCTCTGCTGCTTCCACCACCTGGACATCAAATAAAGGATACCGGAGAATGAAGGCATCATGAAAAGGGATCACCAAATTCAACTTCAAACAAACAGCCATAGAAACATACCCATACCACCACCAAACGGGCTGCCACCAAAGAAAGATGAGAAAATGTCGAATGGGTCGTGTCCACCACCTCCACCACCCATTCCTTCCTTGAGAGCATCTTCACCGTACTGGTCATATATCTCACGCTTCTCGGGGTCACTCAAAACCTCATAAGCTTGTGCAAGCTCTTTAAACTGAAATAAACAAAAACATGCAGCTAATTCATCGACTATACTCGACAGCAAGTGAAACCATTGTGACTCCACTATTAAAATGTAATCAACACAATTATTATAAGAAAATGATGTTGACATTAAGAATGCATATTAAAAGGGGAGATACTCTGTTTTAAAACATCACATAATATCTGTGTGATTGCCATTACAAAATGTCTTTGACATCAGAGTTCTTCCTAACAATGAGGTAGTTGAGAGTTCAATTATTACACAACAAAGAAGCTTAACACCACCAATTCAATGACTCCTACTTCTGCTAAGCAACAAATCCATTCCAAAATATCCACCCTTTCCTAGTTAGCTTAATGTACAGAAACTATCAAGCCACCATGTGCAATGGAAGATAAGGTTTCATCTAGCTAACAAATCCGAAACTAGTTCATCAGCTTAATTTAGTCAATGGTAGAAATCATAGAATTAACTTCTCCTTGCAATTTTACCACCAGAAAATCACTTTTCTTAGCTCAAAGAAGGCCTACCAATAAAGCTATGAGGGATTTAAAGTAAACAAAAAGATCCCAAAATCCCATCTTTATAAAGAGATATACAAACAATAGTGATTGCTGAATAAGATAATCTATAAAGATAAACCCCATAAACACCAGATAACAGATTATAAGAGTAAGAAACTGAGGCACTTCCAGTATTTAAATTGACAGGTAGGCTTTAAAATATGGGTAGGACAGAACCCTATATATGTCTTAAGAAATTCATTAAATTTGTATAAACACAACAACAAACCCAGTACAATCCCACAAGTGGGGTCTGGGGAAGGTAGTGTTTACACAAACCTTACCCCTACCCTGTAAAGATAGGGAGGTTATTTTCAATAGACGCTCGGCTCAAGACAAGCATAATCACAGCAGTAATGAGGCAAATTCAGCATTGAAACTGGACGCCTCCACACACACACACACGCATTTGCACTGAGCTAAAAAAAAACTATTTGCACAATCAGGTCACCTATTAGGTAATTACATGTAAATTCCTTAACAAGCATTCATCGATAGTGTAAAAAGATCTTTACTCCGTATATTTTGGATAAATTTGAGTTACTCGGCTTATATGTTAGATCAGCTGCGGTAAAAACAGTAAAAAAGCAGTAGTTACCTTTTCGGGATCACCTCCCTTATCAGGATGATTCTTAATAGCAGCTTTACGGTAAGCTTTTTTGAGATCTTCAGGTGAAGCAGTCTTAGGAACACCTAAGATCTCATAGTACTTTGTGTTATCGCTCTTCTTCGGTGCCCTCCCAAACATCTTCGATTCGCTTTACTACTCAAAATTAAACTAAAAAACCAAACAAATCAGCTAAAATAATCAACAAATTAAAAAAAAATCTGATACCTATCAAACATAAAATCAAACTAACACATCAACATAGAAATACAAGTGCGAATTTGATCGATACGTACCGATGAAAAGCGCGGCGAGAAGAAGAGTGTTGTGGGCGTAATTGGGTATGGAGAAGAGAGAACAAGAGAGGGTTTGCTTTGTGAATAAGATATGTGGTTTTATTTGGGGGTAGAGAATTGAACGGTCAGGATTTGTTGGTGTGAGTTGATATTGGGGAAAAAATAGAAGAGTCTAGAATAAGGTTCCTTTGCTCTTGGTCTTGGTCTTGCACATATTTTTATTTATTCTTTTTGGTTACTTCCTCTCTTATACTTTTTTGTTTTTTGGTTTCTAGATCCGGATTTGCGCCGGGAAGTTCCGTATCGGGATAAAACACCTTTGGTTAAGGATGAAGGAGTAATTATCAGTCCACCACAATCCTTGTTGGTCTTTATTATACCTAACAGGCCAACACTATTGACAAATCAGAGTCATCAAACCAGAACTAAAATTGATAAAAGAAATAAAATAGAATAAAAAATTAGGAGTTAAAACAATTGATGAGGACATAGTATATAGCTCATGAAAGATTTTAAGTAATTTATTTAGTCTTGAATATTTACGGGGTAAAATAACTTTTTCTTTAATTATAATTTTGTGCTCTCTGTTTCACTATGTAAAAGAATAGACATTTTTCTTTAATTATTTTACTGTTGCATAACCAATTTATTCTTATTGACGTGACTTGTTGGAATTTTAGTTTCAATATAAAACGAATATTTCAATAAGAAAAAGTAATAGAAAGCAACACATGACACTCTAACAAGAAAGATTTACCTGCACCTAATTTATCCAAAACCAATATATACAAGAAAAATATGTTGTATATAATTTGTCACTTAATCATAAGTAAATACGTACTAACATTTAAAATTAAATTATTTGATTTAATATAACACTAGAATAGTAGATGTAAGTATTTTCAGGCTCTTATCACCTTTTATTCAATTATTAATTGTAAATGTGATTTTGATACCTTGCATATATTCAATCTAAGTGTCTCAAGTAATTGTAAGTGTGATTTTGATTACCTTGTATGTATTCAATCTAAGTGTCGCAAGTCCTTTTTTATTTAAACTTCATGCTTAATTAAATAAATAGAAAAATCTACACTATGCCCCTTCAAAATAATAGTATAAAACTGAGTGACTGTGAAAGTGACTGTCAATTTTCTCTTGAATTCTCCAATAGCAACAGAGAAAGTGACTGTATAGTATCAATATGAGTGCATTTTCATTTGCAAATTTTACACACACACACACACACACAGATTTCTTCATGCATTTCTCTTACTCTCATCCACTGTAAAAATCCAGAGACCCTCCCCCCCACCCCCAAACCCCCAAAATAAAAGAATGTTCTCCCGCATATATCTGTCATAATTCCAGAAAGAATAAACTCCATCGATCGATCACATATAAGCAAAAGCATATGTTGCCTGGAAACAGTTTCAGACCTGAATTCCAAGGGAGAAATGATTATGACAATGGTTAACATATACTAATAGTGCTCTCCATTTCGGGGCTAGTCCTCTCCTGCCCAACCAAGTTACATGGTTCACTTGAAGATGTTAAAAAACAACTGTCTATAGATGACATAATAGCGACTGGGATCAACGATCAGCATGCTATCACACACATACACAGAGAGAGAGAAAGAGAGAGAATACGCATGGAAAAAAAAGACGCAAGTCTTATGAACTTAGCAGACGATTTCTGTTCTTTATTGATATAGGATTAGGATTCTAAAATGAGCATACAATCATTAATCACAAATCTGACTGTTATAATTATGCTAAATCACCCTTAATCCTCCAGAGAAGTAATTAGCAATAAGCATATGCTCTGCACACTGTGTTTACACCAAGTTATTCAAAAACTCTCCTAACCACGAAGTGATGCACGAGGGACAGCAGGTAATCCTAGTTCATCTTCAGCCTGTGCATCACAAGTCAGAAAAAGGTGTCAACATACTTAAACATTAAACAACAAAATAAGGAACATGGGCAGTATTGAGCAACTGCCAAGAGAGAAAATTGAGGACGGAGGTGTTGTACTTTCAAAAGCAGATAATAACTTGTCTGTTATTCAGAAAGAAGCAGTACCTAATGCTTAATATATATGATGTAATTTATGTAAAAAAACAGTGTTTCTAAAAGCGAAAAGCGCAAAAAAGGAGACAAGGTCATGTTGCTTGAAGCGAAAAGCAAGGGAAGCGCAGAATTTACGGAACATTATAAATTCGAAAAATATATGAATTTAGTACTATAATGATCAAATATTTTCAAAAAGCACCGGAAACAGCCTCTCTGCCTTTTAAAGGTAGGGGTGAGGTCTGCGTACACTCTACCCTTACACTGGGTTTGTTGTTGTTGTCGTAAGCAATTAATTTTAGCATCCAATATTCAATAAGGTTGATACTAACCCAACTCTTTTAAGTTAGATTAAAAAAGTAAACTTCTCAGTGGGATCAATTTGCGCATCATTCTTTCACGCGGACACTTCTCTGAAGCGCATAGCTTCCCTCAAAAAGTGATAACGCGCTGCTTCACATTGCTTCATCGCTTTAAGCGACAAAGCACACGGCTTTTAATAATACTAGTAAAATGTATACTAAAAGTAAGTAATTATCTCCATGCATGCATGCATACATACATACATACATACATACATACATACATACATACATACATACATACATACATACATACATACATACATACATACATACATACATACATACATGCATGCATGCATGCATGCATGCATGCATGTATGTTTAACAGAGAAGAGGTAGATTAAATTCGAGGTTATGCTCTATCTGATTTTACCTGGGTGTTAGCTCTGCCTGCTGGTGTTGGTGCATACCCCATTGGTGCTGATGGCAAGTTAAGCTCTGAATCAAGATCTGGTTCCTTATCAGGTTGTAGATATGAAGGGACACCTTCACCTTCAGTTTCCATGTCCGCTTCCAAAGCATCAAGCTCTGATAAACAAGTAACTAACTGCTCATCAAACATGCTTTCACTAGAATATTAAAATGCACAAGTGCTAAAAATATCTTACCACCCATGAGCTCTTCTTCGTCAACGTCATCAGGCACACCATAGCTTCTACCAAGAGTCTCTTGAATTTCATTGCTTACGTCCATCAGGTCCACCATTTCATCTTGTAAGTTCTAAATTTACGCAGAAGACCATCACAATATGGATAACATTTACAACCATAGATGGATAACATTCACAACCATAGATATAAATAAAAAGGAAAAGATGAAACTTAGGGATACTTAAAAGAAAACATATAACGGTAATGGAGAATACATACATCTACGTCTTGAATATTCACAGTTTTCATCACTCCTTTTAATTCTTTGTTTGCTGACTTCAAAGCCGCCATCTGAAGAGACAAAACCAAGTCAATAATCACAAATCCCACTCCAAACAAATGAATCCAATTGCTCAATTGTGCCTTCAAACACCAATTTTCAAACTAAAATGGAACGAATTGGAGAACAAGAAACTCTAGGACACACAAAAAGAAATCCCTTCCTCATGACAAATTGGTTGTCCTCCTACCTCTAGGGAGGTAGGCAGCAGGTTCCAATCAGGTTACAGAATAAGCTTCGCTTGACGAGCCTTGAGCTGTGCCCGATGGGGCGCTACCAAGAAAAAGACAACTTTAACATGAATTTCACATAGCTGAAAAGTCTGTCAACCACAGCAACTCGTAAGCTTAATCATCGTTAACCGTGCTGGATGATTGCCAGTCAATAATTTAAGCTCATTTTTCTCTACTTCCATAAATAGCAATCAGTCAAACTTTAAAGTAAAGCATTTTAGAACTCAAGCCTCAAGGAACATGCGTTGTTAAAACAAAATGATGCTTCACAATATGTTATGGATCTCCGACTTGCAGGCCACTGTCCATACATGAACTTAAAACAAGAAATGTTTATGGACTTGTGGATCTGTGGAATATCAAAATGGAAATGGTCGTCTCCTTCTAGGGCATACAGATAAGAATTACGCATTCAAGCAATTGATATACAGTACTACGCAATAGGATAAAGTTTGGACTTTGGAATTGTGAAAAGGTAACTCAGGAAAGAGCAGAATTCCATTTAACATACTGTTTGCTGAGCATCTTTGATTCCCTCAGCAGCAAATGAGACCTGGTCTAGGTTATATGTCTGATTGTATAGCATGTCACGTTGACCTTCATACCTGTTGATTATTCAACGGACAGCTTATGCATTTGTGAAAACAAAATGTCAACAGATCTAAGACTGAAAAAACAAGTAAAAGAATTCTATCTCAAAGAACAAAGTGAAAACAAGAGAGAGTGTCTCTCAAAATGTCTTTCAGAGAGAGTGTTTGTGTGTGTGTGTCTGGATGTGCATGTGTGTGTACGCGATAAGAGGAGCACATATTTACTGCGTTTACAAAATTTATTTCGGAACTTAAACTACTTGACTTCAAATGTCAGTATAAACTCATTTTCGATCAGGGTCAGTATAAACTCATTTCCGATCAAGGTCAGTATAAACTCGTTTCCGATCAGAGTCAGTACAAACTCATTAACAAGTAATTGAACTTGAAAGTTGACACTTTAACCTTTATCATATTCGAGGTAACGATAGATATTATAACTCACATTCTCTTTTGTTTCAAAACCCTCATTGCTCGAGCTTTTATAGCTTCCTGAGCTGGACCTGGTCGAGTCCTCTTCAGCTGTTCCTTGTATCTTGCAAGTTCAACGTCAAGCTTCTTGATTTTCTCTTCCACTGTCTCACCTCTTTTATTAATCTGGATAATTATGAAGCAATTATAAGAATCAGAGATTACTCATGCAGACAACTACTCATCAAACTGCAGAGACCAAAGAAAAAAAATAAAGATTCCAGCCTAATCAACTGGAAACCACAACAAGCAACCATCTTTTCATCATACTACCAAAGCTTGTGAAGCAAACCAAGAGCAGAAATGAAAGCACTTCAGTTCTGCTGCATTCCCTCTTGTATTTTTGGCACATGAAATGCTCGTATCATCAATCAAGGAATAAATAATAACCATTTTCTTTGCCTTACTCAATACTAATCAAGTAACCATTTTCACACATATAGTATGATTAGATCATAAGAAGCATGTTTGCATATCTAAAGGTACAAAGAATTACCTCAATTTGTTTTGCACTAATACTATCTGTAGAGTCTATCAATTTCTCTTTGACTACAAAATTCTCAACATTTTCTAAATATATTTTGCCATAACAATCTGTAGTTTTATCTAGTTTCTAAAATATATTTTAAAATATTAAGGATTTGAAGTTCAAATTTACACAGAAAAATAGATGCATAGATCATTCAAACTCAAATTACATATTGAGGGATGCAACACGAGGACATTGGGGGTGGGGGTGGGGGGTAGACTGAACCAGTCTTTTTCGACATGGAGTATATAGATAATGGAAAAGCACTAATTTCGCTAAAATTTTGACAAATATTAAGTTCTGAACCCATAACTCCAAAAGTGTAATGGGTTCAATGGTAAGAATCAAAAGGTTAAACCCATCAAATTTAAATCCTAGTTTCGCTTCTGCATGACACCCATCCTACTGCTACTACTACTATTATCGTTCGAGTTCATTTAACTTCAGAATTCTAATGGGATCTGGTGTACTAGTAGTGGTATAATTACATCCTCCGATCCGGCCACTCTTTTTTCAGGGAGGAGGGAGTTCACTTGATAGGAAACAGCAGGAAATTTAACTGTTCGAAACAGCTAGGCAAAATAATCAAATAAATAAACAAAAACAAAAATAAGAACGAAGAGAAATTGCAGTGCATGTACATAGTTTTGCAGTATTTACAGTACAGATTTGATTTGTTAGAAGAAAAAGGTTTACCCTATCGGAAGCATCTTGAACGGAGGGAGGAGGTTGTGTTTCTTTCTTAATGCCGAAAACTCTTTTCATCTTTCAATTTTCTTCTTATTCCTCCGGATCGAAATTTAGGGTTTCTGATTCAATCGGAGTTGCTAAAATTGATAGTAGCTTTTTACGAGTTCAATGGGGTACTCCTCTGACAAATGATCCGTTGCCTTTTGTCTGCAATTTTTTTTTTCTTTTAATTTTTCACTTGTAAAAGAGTTGGTATGGTAAAACTTTTTCACTTCTAACTTGTTGCATTTAGATAATTTAGTTTTTATTTTTTGACAAACAGATTATTGATTTGACACAAACTTAAGAGGAAAAAAAATACTTTTGAAATATGTGGTCATAAAAGTTTGGGCAAGCAAAAATTTTGTGTGACTATGACATTTGTATAACAATAAAAACTTACCATTAAGGGTAAAATAAAAAATTCAAAGTTACATTGTTTTCAAATCTATAAATGTATCGTTCTTTTTGAAATTGACAAATAAATAAAATGTGTTTTTTACGTTGAAACAGATGGAGATAAATTAACATCAATGCTTATTAATTGAGATTTCTCACTACTACTTTTTAAGTGATAAATTTGTATAAATATTCCTCTACAGAAAGCTGGCTCAATTATGCATTTATGAAAAGAACCTAAAATTACGTTCAGTAAATAAAAAAAAATAAAGCTGGCTCCCAATATCTATGTACTTTTATTATACCATTTTGTTAATTGGATAGAAGTAACCAAAAAAGTTAATAACTTATAGCACTATAAATTGGAATTTGAATTTGAATGTGAGCGTTCGGTTACCACATATCAAGTTGTCCCACAAACTTAAATTGCGGGTCAAAAGTCTACTTTTTTTTGGCAATGGTAAAAAAATCTACTCATTATCCTTTACCATTAGAGTCAAGGTACTTTTCAGAAAAAAGAACTTATAGAAAATAAATTTTTTTTTTTTTATAAAAAAAAAATATTTCATTATCTCTTTGGACATAAATAATGGTGACAAGTAATAGAGTCAATTACGTGTATAGTCATCCACGTATTGGAGAATATCCAAATGATTATTTTAAGACGATAAAGTCACTCAATTATGCACTTGTCACTCAAAAAAAATGGAATGCTCTTTAATTTCACCGGATATATTAAATACGTAGTTTCTAAATAAAAAAAACTCAGGGAAGAAACATAAAGGGGCAACTCTCAGTCATTTTCCACAAACTCGTGCTTTGCTATCCTCTAATTTCTTTTTCTTCATTATTATACTCTATAGTCAATTGGTTATTAAAGTGAGCATGTCATCCCTTAAGTTCTTAGAATTAATTACTCCAAAGTTTTCTCATATATTGTTGGTAATGCAAAGGCTTTTTTTTTTCTTTCTCTTTTTCAATCAGTTTCTTTAATTTCCTTTCAATTATAAGTAAATTGTACTCTGAGTTAAATGAGTTTTACAATTAAAAACGGGTAAATTTTAAAAATAGCCAGATTTATAACTGGTCGTTCAAAAATAGTCCAATTTCAAAAGTAATCGAATTTTAGCCTCTTTTTATATAAAGATAAATCTGAGCGAAAACACTGTTCAAAACCCGGAAAATACTCCAGCATAATATGATGGAGTTCCAGCATAAGTACACTAGAACTCCAGCATAATATACTGGAGTTCCAGCAAGTATATTGGTCCAGTATAATATACTGGAGTTTGGAGCACCGGTGCTCCAGTCTCCAGTATATTATACTGGAGCCAGCAAAGTATACCGGTCCAGCATAATATGCTGGAGTTCATACACAAGTGCACCGAACTCCAGTATATTATGCTGGACCGGTCTCTATTGCAGCAAAATAGTGGCTATTTTTTATTGACTTGGTAAACGCTGGCTATTTTTGATTGACCAGTCCAAAAACTGTGCTATTTTTACTTGAGAAACGTGTCTTAACACTTAACTAACATATCTGGTGCCGATGGTTTTAATCTTTTGAGTGATAAAGACATAATTAACTTGACTTTCTTGTCCTGAAATAAACAAAAAAGACTTTGTTTAGTATTTTCCAATACTGGGACGATAACCATTCAAAGGATTGACGTGCATAAAACTTAAACTCAACAATAAACGGCAAACAGTAATATATGTTTCTAACAATGTTTAAGTCACAACAAGCAGAGGATAAGTAAGGAACATTAGGTTACAGAGCCCCCACAATTTTGTACAAGAAAAGAAAGAGAAAATCAAAGAGAAGAATAAGACCCCATCTAACTGAATATAACATATTATTAACAACTATCATGTTTACAAGGGAACTAGCTAAATGAATACATGTTAAACCTGCAGATAAACACACAAGTTTATGAAAGTTCAGGTAGCAAACCAAGTTGCCTCCGAGTTCTTCCAACGAATAAATCTCCAGATTTTATCATCCCTGGAATACGTCCAATCATCGATAAACAATAAAACTGAGCTACAGCCTCTCTTCTGCCTAGAGCAATTAATGACAATGGCAAAGCAGCCTTATATACATTCAAATTGTTGTCGCTTGGATTCTTCATTAACAGTCTGATGTTCTTGGCAGCTACTACTGCGTGTCGTTGAGCCAAATATCCTAGTTTAAGTTCCTGGATTTTCACCAGTACTAAGTTAGAATCTCTTGCTGTAATAAAATATATGCATGATATAACAACAAATACAAGTCATTGTCATTTATATCGTAGAAGACTCACAGTAAACCAATGCAAAACTAGAAGTAAGAAGCAGTAAGTGAAACTGTCCTAATCGACACCTCAAGATTATATCATGTTTCTTACTGATGTTGCTTCTCAATTATAATACAAAGTTGGTTTTTGCATGCAATAAGAAGAAATTTGACATCGGCTATCTAACATCAAAATGAGATATAGGTAAGCGAACCTTGGTGCGAAAAATGGACAAAAAGCATAACCAGAGCTCTCTCCTAATATAGGACTCACTGCTTAAAACCAGAGGCCAACCCAGGATTTTAACGCGATGGGGGTACCAGTATTCTGCTCAACCAGTGCCCGCTAAAGGCTTTTAGCACTAAGGGTGTCAAGTAATTTAAATTAACCATTTTCAAGGTATACACATATATATATAAAAGATTTCTGCCGAAGTTTACTAGGTCTGGTAACCCCTCAAGGTTACACATAGGTCCGCAGGTCCGCTTCTGCTTAAAACAATCTAAAAGAAATTATGTATCACAAGCTGCAGGTAGGTTGTGCAAAATGGAGATTACTTACAGAGGATGTACTCATTACATGGTACATATTTAAACAAAAGTATCATTTAAGGAAAAAGATTGAATTCTTCTGCACATAATGCAGAATAGCTCAGGTCATATGACTAAAACAAGCATGAAACTGTTGATTCCTTGAGCAGGATCTCACAATATTTGGCACAAGAAATCAATATAACCTCTTTGGTATTTCTTGACATAGTATTATATCAGCTGTTTACGGAGTGAGATTTCCAGGGCACAAAGGGAAACATGTTTCAATTTTCTTACCATAATCATTTTGTTATAACAATGTAACAATAACAAATATGAATTTTCGAAACGAAAAAGAAAGGTACTATAGAGACAGGCTTGAAGACTTACAGGGATATCAGTAATATCTCCGATGCCAAAGACGTTACTTCGACCCTTAACTCTCAAATTAGAATCAACCATCAATCTTCCATGAATGTCCAAACTATCCTTCAACGCAGTTTCTTTTATCCATCCCGAACCAATCGGCTTCCCAATGCAAATAAAATGACACTCAGCATCTATAGTTTCTCCACCAGATGTTTTATAAACATGACCATCTTTTACGGCAGTTACATCTACAGATTGCCCCAATATGATTTCAACATTCCTTGATTTTAGCCAATTTACTACCTTTTTGCTTGCCCTTTCTCCAATAAATTCCAACAACATTGATCCTCGATGCACAATAGTCACCTTCTTATCAGGATAATCTACAGAGATTTCAGCCGCTAGTTCTACGCCTGTTTGTCCTCCCCCGATTATTAATATGGAGCTTGCAGATTTAATCTTTTCATGATCTGTTAACAAAGAAAATGATTAAAACTGAAGCTGTTCATGAGCCCTGTAAAAAGGAAAGAACAACAGCAACAAAAATCCAGTGGATTCTCACAAGTGTGGTTTAAGGAGGGTAAGATGTACACAACTTTACCTCTGCCCTGGACCCTCGGCAAAGAAAGGATGAAAAGAAGTAACGGCAACAAGTAATAACAACACTAGGTAGTAATAGCAATCTAAGAATAAAAAGATATCATACTAACACTAATGTTATCGAATTGAGGAAGACAAAGGGAAATGTTCGACTACTTACTAACTTCTACCCTAATTCTCGACCTCCACATTGACCTATCAAAGGTCATGTCCTCACTAAGTTCCAGTTGTGTCATGTCCCGCCTAATCACCTCTTCCCAAGACTTCTTTGGCCTACCTCTACCCCTCCTCATACCCACCAAGACTAACCTCTCACGCCTCCTAACTGAGCTGTGTTTCTGGTCTTAACATGTCCGAACCATCTCAACCTCGCCTCTCGCATCTCAACAGGAAAGGTACACAACAACTAAAACTCAATCGCAAACTATTCGAGGTTGATTGTATGAATCCTCTATATCCTTTTCGCTATTCGGACTCATTTCGTACTTTACTAGCGAAGGTTTTAAAGAAAAAAAAGATCATCATGAAATGTAGACAAGTATATCAACTGATCCATGATGTTACCTGTTTGATATTGACTTAACTTCTCATCTTTTGTGTAACCACTAACATCTGAGTGACCAGTAGCAATCACAACATAATCATATGCAACTCTATCGCCTTTTGCAGTTACTACCTCCTTATCTGTGATGTCAACAGCAGAAGATGTAATGACATGTCCATGGGGAAGGTATTCAGAGTGACTAAAGATTGCTCTTTTTGCAAATGAAGGATCACACATTGACCTTAAAGCTGCCCAAGGAATCTCAAAATACTCCTTCCTGTTCACATTTCTTGAATTCAGTTAATTAAGAACACACTACAAATTAATAATAAATTAATACTACAATTAACCATGTTATTTCCTCTAAGAAAAAGGCCAATAATTGCTTCCATTGGTATAGTTGGTTACGAAATAAGCTACCCGTTCAAAAAAAAATGGAC